TACATACATACATACATACATACATACATACATACACACATACATACTTACATACATACATAGATTTCTCTCTCTCTCTCTCTCAAGGTCCCCACTGAACCGGTCGAAGCCTTTGAAAGTGCATTTTAGTTGGAGGTTCGGGGAGTGATGCCACCCGATAGGCCACATCAAATGTCCAAGTCCCCATTGTTTGAGCCACACCATCATTGAGGGCTTTGTGCTTGAGCATGTCACAACCTTGAAGGTTAAAGCCGCAGGAAGTCAGAGCCTTTGGTGCTTAATGGTTCCTCTCAAGTCATGGGCTAGGATGATTGTGTGAAAACTGTGTATTCTCATATATCTTTACGTACATATGCAGCACACATTTGCCACATGCAGTGTATCGTTGAGACATGAATTTAGTATGACATGCTGCATATTTGCAATTGCTCCTCCAGCAACATTTACCAAGGAGTCTTGGAACCCCGGTGCAACCGGCACCGTTCCATTTGTTCCACCCGTTCCACACTTCGGGCTCGAGAGAGCCGGGCAGGTCTTCATCATGGACACCACCCCGCTGCAGAATCTCTTCTTTGGTGACCCGGACCAAGTGGCCAGCGCGGAGGAGAGGCACCGCATGCTTTGGATCCTGGACAAGCTCCAGATGCACACCACTCGGCAGCTGGCGGAGTTGGAGATCTCCATGCTTCAGGCTGGGGTAGTCAAAGAGTGGCAGAAGTAGAAGATGTTTTATGATGTTTACAGCTGTTGGTGTGTTGTGTGGGTGTGATTGTGGTTGTGGTGCGGTTGTTGTTTGTTCCCCATCATGTTCCTAAATGTTTGTGGTGATCAGCGATCAGACACAAAAGAAACCGGATATATTTTATGCAGGGATCTCTAGCAACATATGGTGAGAAGCAGTTCCCTTGAATCCTGTAAAGTACACAAAGGTTATCTCCTCCAAGCTCCATCTTGCAGTCCAAATGTTTCTAGAAACAGGCCCCCCTCATTCATCTTGAGTTACAGTTACCGGATGCGGCGCCAGCTGGGAAGACGCCCATGCACGTGCCCCACTCAGTAGTGGACCACCTGTTTGGCAACATCGGTCATGCAGCTGAGGGTCTCATGGGCGCGGACGCTGCATGCCGCGTCCTCCTCTCAGGAGCCTGAAGAGCTGGAGGAGGAGAATGGACCTTGTGGCCTGAAGAGATGCGGACCCGACATGGCTGGGGATGGAATCGCACCACGCGCGTTTGGGTGAGTTAAACATTCTAAAACTGAAAAAGGACCGACTGTTTAGTAGGAACATTGTCTTCCATGCAGTCGTCCGTGTTTTACTTGTTTTGAGTTATAAGGTTCTATATTGCTATATCTTCAACTAGGTAAAATATGTCACTGTGTATGGACGTGTTGACACCATTTCCATGGAATCTACAGTCACCTGGAGTTCTTGTTTGTGTCTTGCATAGGGGTGCAAACGCCTGGGTCATCTTCGGATGGGTCATCCCACCAATGGTCAGCGTAGCGTAGTCGCTACGGGAGGTGCCAAGTGAATGGGATGTTCCGAGGAGTCGACGACATGAGGTGCGATAGGACATGACGATTGGTCCCAGGTCCCAGGTCACATGGATTTCGATCTGGAGATGTAGCTTTGGATTCTGGCAACCTTCTCAAAATAGCTTCCACCGACCCAAACTACAATTCAGCTCAGCATGGTTGCTTCTTTTTGTTCCTGTCCTTTCTTTCATATCCCATTCACATCGTTCACGCCTTTTCGCGTTTTAGAAATAGCTTTGGGGTATTGGATTTAGCTTCCTATAGCTTCCCTTGCGAAGAACTTGGAACCGCGCCGTTCGCGAGGTGGGTGTTGTTATGACATCGAAGAGGCACCGGATCCTTCCGAGCGCTTTATGCGACCGCCCGATGGCTCCAAGCTGGCTCGGCAAGTGCAGAAGAGACTGGCGGGGTGGCACAACTCCTTAAGCTTTCAAGAGATCTTTGCCTGAGTCTTTTGATTGTGGTTGCAATCATGTCCTTTCTTTGGGGACATGTTCTTGTGAGACAGTGTGGTTGTGTTGCTATTTGTGTTTCTTTAGTTCTTGAATGTTCTTCAGAGCATTAAACTTATGACCCTTAAAAGAACAACTTTACCAAGAAAGTACTCGGCTAGACCAGATGTAAGAGATTGTAAGAGAATTCATGCAACACTGTAAATATGTTGTTTGGTTTTCTTATCATCGTTATTGTTTATGTTGTTTTGGACAAGGTGCCAAACTCAAGCAGCAGTTATATACGTTTGTGTCATTTTTTGGGGAGCTCTTCTCACTTAAACAGACAGAATTTGTTGTTGTTTCTGCTGGTGTGTTTCCTCTCCTGTTGTTAGTTACTGTTAGTTAGTTCTTCTTCAATTTAATCAGCTCGTCATTGCTGTCGCAGACAACTTGTATGTATAGACATATGCATATGTGCATACAGTGTTGTTTCTTTTGCTATTCGCCTCGCCTTTCACAATGTCTTCTTGGCCTCAACAAGGCTCGTTTATTGCTCCTGCGTTTTGTTCTTTCTATTGTTCCTGTCTCCTGTGGAAGCTTTTCCTAGTCTACGCAGACTGTTCTTGTTTGGTAGTTGTCAACATTTTGCAGAGCTTTGCATGTTTCCAAGCATGCACGTGAATAATATTTGAGAGTTATCAGCAAACTGCATCAATCAAAACTAACGGAGTTGGGTCAGGATTGATTTCTCCTAGTCTTGCCCATCACCCCTAGTAGACTTGCCAGTCCTTGACTAGGTACTCCTCTTCGTCAATAACTAATTGTTGTTTCTTGATCAGTGTGCCGAATTCGTAGGCTTTTCCTGCCAAAAGGAAATGATATTCATCATCCCGTTGTCCTTTTCTGATATACTGTATATAATATATAACACATGAAGCCCAGTTCTGCGTAGATCGGACAAATTAGGGAAAGGCAAAGCAAATTATATAGACGAGGGAAACTCTTTAAAGACAAAAACTCCCAGAGTCATGATGATGAAAGATGGACAAAGTCCCACTTTCCTCAATGGTGGACCCTCACCATGTGCATGTTGCATATACTTTGCACGTGCTTAGCTTTGAGATTGCTTGGCACCTATCAAGCACTTGGCTGTATTGGCCAATTCATTTGCACCACTTTGTGACAACTACCCCCGCACGGCCGCACGGCAGCCAAAACCAAGAAAACATACCCAAGCCCAAGCCTTGGTTTGGGCCAGACTGGGTCATAGGTTTGCTTTTTGGCTTTGTGAATTCTGACAACTTTGTTGTTGGTTCTATGTCCAGATGTTACTCTTTTGGTGGTTGGGGGCAGTCTGACCCGTTTTGCTATGCGTAGCAGATGCTTATCCAGATGGTCAGATGTGAGGCCACATGTATTTCTGTCTTTGCTGCATGTTCACGGATGATACAGTACCCCTGGATGTTCATTGCAAAGCTCCTGCGACCTAAAATATTACCATAGCTACCATCGAGGCACCGGATACATATACATATATACACCTGTGATTATAAATGCGTGAAGGGTGGTGTGTGTGTGTGCGTGCTGTAATGTGTTGCCGGGGTTCCGCTTCCTTGTTCTCTTGGGGGAAGCCTCATTTTGACCTTCTCCACAGGTCAGCAGACATGACCAGCAGGCCCAAGTCTTTTGGAAAGAACCAGGCATAACATCGACCAATGTTCAACATGGGTCAGACCAATTTTCCACATGGGTCAGAACCTTCTATGTCCACATGGTTAATTTTCTTCATGAGGTGCCCACACCCCCTTGTCCAATTTTTGAGTCGTTCTGTCTCGGTGAGCCAATCGGTGCCGTTCCCTTCCGCCTTTCGGTGTCCAACCGGTTGACGGAGCTACGTTATCTTCCACTCTTTTCACCGTGCCTGGTGGTTGACTTGGGGGTGGTCAACGGAGCCAGCTGAAGGCTGGCCATGCTGCGGGTTTTTCGGTGGTTTCCAACTCAAACCAGTTGAGTTCCAAATTCTCGGCTTTTTGTCAGCTTCCCGTCAGTTTTGGGATGGGAAACCTGACTGTTGTGGAGGGAACCTGTATGGTGATTCTATGGGACATCCTGTTGGAAAGCATTGGACAGACAGAGCCTGTTTTGGAAAGTATCGCGAGCCTGAGGAAAGCCAAGCTTCACATGGCACGTGCCTTGATTATGAACCCCGAGATTCTAATACTGGAGAAGCCATTGATGAATGTGGATGAACGGGAATCTTGGATGGCTTTGGGTTCAACGGCTTGCGGGTTCAAACGCACACTGCATGAGAGCATCCGAGAGCTCCTGTCCGAGAAAAAACAGAGTTGTGATAGAGTTGTGACAAACGTCTGGAAACAAAGCATCGTCGTCATCATCATCATCATCATCATCGAGATCGAGATTCATGAAGTGACAGGTTTCTTATATGATGATGGAATGACCAGTCAGAATTGATGCCAGCTATGAACGTGCTCTAAAGGACCAGAGAAAACGTGGCAGCGTCCTACTCGGACCTATCGATGGCCTCCAACCTAATAGCTTCCAATCTAACTGCAATGGGCTCCAACCCAGAAGCGATGGCCTCCCTTCCACCCACAATCTAAGCCTATCATTCTTTGGCCTTCAAGCCACAATCTAAGAAAACCATGAGTGCTGTGAAGCGTGTTGAACAGGACTACATCCCAGCAAACGTGCACAGCCCCAAACAAAGGTGAAGGAAAGCATGCTCAAATCCCTCCTTGGGGGGTTTCATGTTGCACCAAGTGAAAATTATTGAAAGCCAACGTTTTCCCACCATAATTAGCCTGCCATTTGCGTGTATCACATTGGCATTGGCTTTCTTACTTGAGGGAGATTCGCAGATGATTGCAGATGCGTTCCAAGGCCCCAAGTGTCCAAGGATTCAATCCAGAAATCCTGCGAACATTCGGCTGCAGTTCGGGCGAATTCTGCGCCCCAAAAAGACCAGTATTGCCTTGTTCCTAGTAGCGATGCCCTTTGCTGCTAGTAGCGTCCTTGCTCCTAGAGCGTCCTTGCTCCTAGTAGTACGGCCAGGAGCCCCCCTAGTAGCGTCCTTGCTCCTAGTAGTACGGCCAAGAGCCCCTAGTAGCGTCCTTGCTCCTAGTAGTACGGCCAGGAGCCCCCAGTAGCGTCCTTGCTCCTAGTAGTACGGCCAGGGAGCCCCTAGTAGCGTCCTTGCTCCTAGCAGTACGGCCAGGAGCCCCTAGTAGCGTCCTTGCTCCTAGTAGTACGGCCAGGAGCCCCTAGTAGTGTCCTTGCTCCTAGTAGTACGGCCAGGAGCCCCTAGTAGCGTCCTTGCTCCTAGTAGCAGGGTGAACTCTCCAACCCTTTTGGGCCGGAACCCTCGTTGTGCGAGGAATCTGAAAATGTCATGGCAGTGCTCCGTGCCACGGCTGTGGGGCGAGCGAATCGAGGGGACCGGTGAAGCACATGGCATGCGGTCGAAATGTGTCAAGTTCGTGAATCCCAAGTCTCCAATGCTCCAAGTCTTCAATACTCCAATGCCAGGTATGAAAAGACATAGAAAACCTCACTTTCGCGGCATCCAAATACCTGCTTAAACAATGCATTGGAGCCGTACGCCGGAGTGATTCAACATGTGATTTGGTCCAAGCACGGGTAGGATAGGTGGTTTTCAGAATCCTAAACCATAGGTTTGATGCTTTAGAAATGGTTTGTACTTTGGCACGTAGTTGTTTGACATAAACACTCCATGAAGGCCAATTTGGCCTACCTTCACCAAACATCACTAAATCATCCTGGCATACACGGAGCATCTAGGATACAACGAATTAAAAGAGCCTCTATTGTGTCCAGTGAACTTACATCAACCAAAGCTCCTCATCCGAAACACCCAAGCTCCTCATCCGCGGTCACCGTTCCCTTCGCACCGGCTCTGAGCAAGGCGAGTATGTGTCCAACCGTGGCGTCGCGATGCCAGCAGAGGAGCGCGACGGTCGGAGGCCGAGGACTTGCTTTTTGAGCGTCGAGCGCTCCACGGAAATTCTGGTGGATGCAATTTGGGAGACTTGGAGAGGTGGTCATGGGCAGCAGGTTAGGTCGGGCCAGTGGGGGGTGAGTTTGGTTCAGTGGGTTTATGGCAAGTGGCGAGTAATTAATACTATATGCTGGTTCCTACGCACTGTTTAGCAAAAGCTTTCCTTCGGGAGCTCGTAGCTTTAGTTGGGCCTCTAGCAGTCTTGGGTTTGGGGGTTCCTTGGTTGGGCATCGAACGAGTACAAAGGTTCTTATATGTCCTCAAATGACCATGGACCAATCCCGTCCCAAACTAATTATATACACCAAAATGTATATGGTATGTTACAGTTATCATCATAGTTTGTGTGATTTTTCACGGAATGTTCACCATTCACCAGAAATACAGCACGACTGAAGAGCAAACACCTGCGCTGCCGACAGTGAACTTGCAAAGTTGGGATCCGGTGAGCATGCTTGGCTACAAGTGCTAGCTGAGCACTGGACTTGGTCCTTGGAACTGGAGCTACAAAGCTGATATCCTCCGCAGCTGCTTAGGAACTTTTGGCACCAATGCTAGAAAGACTAACCTACCTTCCAAGCACCGGATGTTGGTAAATAGAACGCCCTCACAAGCTGCGTAGTGTAAGGCCCTTAAGGCCAAGGGTGAGTGAGGCATACTTCGTCATACCTCAGGAAACCTTCGTTTGATACGTCAGCTCAGGAGTTTAAAAATGGCCGCTGTCTCTTGGACTGAGCGAACCCTTTCCGCAGCAGCCGGGTTCTTGGACAACCCTTTGCGATGTCAGGACCCTATATCCTACCAGGTGCGAATACTCAATGGCCTTATCCATTCACTATAGTATAGTAAAGTTTATAGTTTATATATTGAATGGTGTTGCTCTTTTGAGCTTTGTGATGCAGAATAAGTTAGTGGAATTTAGGATGGCAAACAGCATCAAATAGCTAAGCTAGACCAAGGGTTGCCTGAGCAGTTTTGACACGAACACCACTGTGTTTACCTTAAGCCCCCTTCAAACAAACCCAGGAGCCATACATTCGGGACCCGGACCGAACGTCACTGGTACCCGGACGTCGCTAAGGGTGTGGTGCCCCATCTATGAAGATCACCTGCGATTGGACGGGCTAGCGAGAAACCGGCCCCGAACACAATGACTTTTGATACCCAAAGATGATTTTTGTGCAATCATTGATATTCCGCGGTCCGCGCCACCCGAGAAAAGAAGGCACACGCACACGCACGCACGCACGCACACACACAAATGCAGGTTGTTGAAAAGCACATACAGCAGAAAAGAACTCCTAAGCACATACAGCATACGTACCCACATTAGCATGCTTTAGCCGCATCCTGAATCCAAGCTTCCTGGTCCCATCGCTTTCTCCGAGGCCAAGAGGCTCCAGCGCAGCCCAAGAAGGGCGGTGCCAAGGCGGAGGCGAAGGCATGGTCCACGAGCCGTCCACGAACAGTGACGCTGAATGTGGCGAGCTGATGGATGGCCGAGGGTGTTTAAAGATGGATGGGACGATGGTTGAGGAAAGAAGGTGTTTTTGTAATATGGCACCTCTCTCTCTCTATCTATATATATATATATATGTTGGTCACGTTCGAAGAGAACCAAGAAGATCATGTGGCCAGATGTAAAGGTTCAGTCTGGTTCAGTGTTGTTTTGGTTTATTTAGTTGGCTGAAGGAACTAGGAGACCTGGTGGATTGCCAACAAGGTGCACTACCACCCTGCATCCCAACCATACGTCCCATCTCGTCTCACCCAAAGGTTGGTGGATCTGCGATTTCAGAGTGTTGGTGATCGCCCAGGGCGTTCGGAAATCCTGAAGAGTGGTACGTTAAAGTTCCTGATGGTGGATTAGAGGACCTATATAGGGACGGTGATCCACCTTGGGCGACGTCAATGATCAGCGGAATCCTGGTCCAACTGATGCATAGGTTTGTCAACAAAGAGGGTTCACCAGTCTTGCAGTTGTTGAGGGAGTCTAGGTTTGATGGTCCTCGGCAAGGAATGGCAAGAGCTAACAAACCCAGAACATGTCGAACATGTAACATTACATGTTTGACCCTCAGAAGGCAGGAAATTGTAAGTTGCAAGTGGCCTCCTCCCTCCTCACTAATTTGTGGCGATCATAAACCTATGGACCCACTTCCTTTTTCTTTCCTTCCCTCTCCCTCTTGCTTTCGCTCTCTCTCTCTCTCTCTTGTTCCTTCCCGTTTGGAAGGGTATAGTAGTTGATGGGAGTTTATGCCTTTTAATACATCCTAATACCGATACAGTGCATTGGAGACCACTGGAAGTCCCGGTAACAGTACGTACTTACTCCACGCCCAGGAAAACACAAGCAGTTCCACTTGCAACCTGCAGATTCAACGGTTGGTAGAGGATCCACTGGAGCTGAAGCGAGGATCCACTGGAGCTGAAGCGTTGTGGCAATGTCCACTTCGAAGCTGTCCAGCCGGGTGTGAAGCCGTCGGTGGCCATTCGGAGAAAAGACAAAAAAACGGCACGACTCCCGCGTTGAAGCACGGTGCATTCATTGAGATCCGGGGGTAGATCCGGGGTGGACCAACGGAGGCGAGCAGATCGCCCCCTGATCGGACAAGGATGACTTGGGTGTTTTCTTTTTGGGGGGGGAAGCTGGAACATAGTTGGCTTTTGACTACAGTGTTATTAGTGGTTGATATATGGCACCAAACTGACTGACCCCTCTTTTGTTCCTAAAAGGACATCCTTGAGCTGGCATGGTTCACCGTTGACAGAGCAGATGACCGAGTTGCTGCCCGTTATTTATGGTTTCTTTTAGGCATCCTGCAGAGTTCAGTTTTTTGAGATCGATTGGTGGCATGTCCCAAGACCAGCTCCGGGCTGCTTGGCACAAGAGGTCTGTTTGTAGAGGTCAGTTTGTCAGTGCAGACCAGGAATTCATGACGTTTCCAGATGGATCAGCCCAGAATCCACAAAGCGACGGGTAAATGAGCCGCGCTTGCATTGCTGTCGTCCCTGAAATTGTGGAGCACAGCCGATCAGGTCGGTGCATCTCCGTAAAGGAGGCGGAGGCCATCGCAAGTAGGTTGGAGGCGATGGTGAACTGATCGGAGCTACACTGAGCCGATCGGGTACTTTCTTCCTTTCTTCACCTTTGCCAGCCCCGGATGCTCAGGGCCCTCCACCGGCCCTCCAGGGCTATCCTATGACTGAGGTGCCTGAGATAGAGGAGACCAAGATAGCAGAGCTGCAAGCTGAGGTTGAGAAAGTCACTGGGCACATATATGGAAAGAGTATATGAGAGAGAGTTGAAATTGAACCCACAGGTGGCATCCTTATTGCGTACCCTCCCTCCAACAAATACCTACCCTGTCAGCGGCTAACTGCTGATCTTTGACCTTTTAGAGTGTTTGTCGGGAATGTTGCAGGCATTTCTGGCGCGACATCTCTTCACTGTTGCATACTGGTGCCACAGTCACACCTTGAATGGCGATGGGAGCGGAATGTCAACAGCACATTTAGCCACCGATCCAAGGCTAAAAAGGAAGTGGAGAGAGAAGCGCAGGCACTCAGAACACTTGGGGCATACGGTTGTCAATAGGAACGCAAAATTTGACCAAACTTGGAAGCTTGGCAATACATACATATAATAAATATATATATATATATATATGCGCAATTGGCATAATTGCTAATTGAATGCTGGTTGTTACCGGCTATCGAAAATGAGAGTGGTCGACCACGGAAAACACATGTTATTTGATTCATTTAGTTTATGGGTTATGTATCTAAAATGGGTCTTAAATGGATGGCACGGATGAACTCTTTGCGCAGTCAAACTAGCCAGTCACGACAGAAAGGGGTGTTTTTTGGCACTGGTTAAACCAAATGAGATGAAGTCTTATACCCGTCATTTTGGATGACCTATTTTTAAACAACAATTGGGTGAACCTCAGTATAGTCTGTGGCAACGGGGATCTAATTGAAGAGCCCTGCTATGGTAGGTGATCCGTGAGCTGCGTCAAGCTGAAGGCGCGAGCGCGCTTGTTCGTGCGAGTTCTCGCTTGAAAGGACTGGAACTCTTCACCACCAATCTTGGACGCAAGAATGCGATAGGCGATAGGTATAAAACACGTTTGTGCCGGTTGTGCCACTATTTAGCTGCTAGCTGCTATTCTTTCTTGCGGCTACTGCTACTGCGTCTTAATTCCACTGCCACCACTTCTGCAGCCATGCAGCTGCGCTTGCTTCAGCTCCACTTGTTGGTGGCTCACCTTCTAGTGTCCATGCTTGCAGCTGGAGGACATTGGGTGAAGTGCTCAATACCAAGAATCCGTGAACGACACCCGGAGACCTGTTCCAGGTTCAAAAGGCGAATGCTGATGTCATGTCACGATGTGTTTCGTCACGTTATTTTTTCGCTCATTTTCCTATGTCCCAAGGAAGGAACGAGGAAGGAAACGGGAACGCGCTTTGGCGCGACCATTCGCCACCGTCATCGGTGTCCGGCGCCGGCCGTCCTGGATCGGTACGGCGGCGGCGTGAAACGTAATGCCAGGCCTGCGTGAGCAAAAGGCACAAATGCTGGAAGACCTCACTGGTCAATTGCAGCAAGTTCATGAGGAAAAGGCGATCTGAATTGACTTGCTCGGACTTGGCAGTTCGCTCATTCTGGCCATGAGAATGGTTGATTTTGTCCAAGTTGTTTTCTTTAGACATGGTTTAAAGTTGACACAGTTTCGATGTCATGAGAATCATGAGACCTTTTCTACCCGCGAATTCGCTCTTCTCCAACCGGCCAGCAGGAGGCGTCCACTAGCACGTGGGACACCGTGCCAAACATTTGGGGGGGTCTCAGTTATTCAGGTTCTTTGACCAAATGCTTTGAGAAAGTCGTTGCACACTCTGAAGCAGGCACGCCCCAACCTGACAAGAATGCCCGATGAAAACACTGATGGAATGGGTCAAAGCCTGCAGCCACAAAACATCTAATTTTGGTTGACCTTCACAGGACCCACAGCAGGTATCCTGGTGACATGACCCACAGCCATATCAGGGAGCCTTTGGTGTTTAACTTCATTGATGGCCCTCTCTCAGGCGGCGGCCTGCCAAGAGCGTCGCAAGGGTGCCGCGGCCAAGCTGGGCTGGTTGCTGGAGGCCTTTGGATCGGATGGCAGGGGCAGGGGATGCCTCAAGACTGCATCCCAAATACTGTACTTCATTTTTGGAATATATGATGCCTACATTGAACCCCTGAAACCACCCCAAATTCAATTAAATATGCTGTAGATGGTCCATGTATGGGCATTGTTGGGTTTAGTTTCACCCAACTTGGAGGAAGTGGCGAGCTCGAAGAAGTTGAAGGGGACTATCTTGAGGCTTTCCAGCTTGATGGCAGAGGGGGTGGTGGGACATGCATGATTCTGTTCAAGTAGGGGATAGTAGGGGGGTACTCACTCTCAGTGAAACACAACCAGACATGATCCCACTTGGCTAGAGGAAGATTACTTTCCCAACCTCCCAGAGGTTGAACCTCTCTCGTGCCAGGTGGCGTGGCAGAGGTGGCGTGGCACAGCTTTGTGGCAAGCAGTGCGTCATATCGCTGAGCAAGCAAAGTCGCTCCAACGGAAAGAACGGGTGATCTCGGCTGCACACAGAATGACACGGGTCCGTACCAAGTTTTGAGAGACAGCCTGTTGAGGCCTTTGCCCCTTGTTGTCAGAATGATCGTGCCCTCTGACTCGCTAACGTGAAAGTGGACATCCACCTGTTTGAAGAGGAAAATAGTCTTTACAGTGGCCATGCCATCCACTTCCATGCGATGTGTTCGTCGGAGTGCAATTGCTTTGCCGTTCGTGGTGGGTTTCACCAGCTGTTCAGGTGATCGCTCGAAGTCAAGCAGTTGCAGCGCTGTGCCTTGGTGAGTCAGGACGCAACGCTGTCGCAGACGCTGAAATCGGACGCGGTGACCTTCAAACGGTCTAGAGATGCAGATCATCAGTTATCAGTTATCAGAACATATTTATTGTTGAACCCTACATCAATTAATATATTATATCTTAAGTTGTTCTTTTTCTAAGAGTCTAGGTTCAGCCACACCACAGTGATTTGATTCCTCGTTTCATCAAACTCTTTGCGTTTGTGAACCTCGAGGTCCAGCTGCTTGCTCTTGTGGCGGCAAGTAAGCGCATCCAGCCGCGCGGAGCGCGCCGCGCAGCAGCACTTGGAGGAGCTCCAGCGGCTCCAGCTGCGAAGTGCGCAGGCGCACGCGCAGCTGGCGCAGCGGCAGCTGCGGCGAAGCTGTTTGGCGTGGCGTTTGGAGGTGCGACAGAGGCAGGAGGACCGGAAGAAGGCAGAGATGGCACAGAAAGCCACAGCGACCTGGCACGTGTTTACTTTTTTGGGGGGGAGTCTGAGGAGGCCTTTTAGGATCTTATGGGTTGAGAGGCTGACCGATCTATATATATATAATTACACATTTAGTCAATATATTATTACGCATCATCATATATATATACAATATTGATTATATGTTGGATTTGTTACATTACCTGTAAACAGTTGGTAATCAAGTATCAATATTCTAGAGAAAGGCCTTTACCAACCATCATCAGCCAGAATTATACCCAAGATAGTACCCAAGGTTTATCCAAGTTATACAAAATAAATAGATATATATATATATGTTATTGTATATCACAGTTTTGAAGCATCATCACGCTTCCATAGTTGTTTTTCTTTTGCGGTCGTCGAACTCAGGCTTTCATGGCCTCCTTGCCATCCTCAGCATCATCCGTAGCTGCTCCTGCTCCTCCAGTCGAGTCGGATGTTGCGATTGGGGAAAACGACGGAGCTCAGGCAGCTCAGGTGCCCTGGAACTGTGGGATGGCGGGATCCACCGTTGAGAAGGCATTTGATGTTGGTATAAACATGTATAATTAGTACATAAACATTGTTTCGGGGGGTGAGTTTGGGTTGAGCTGAGCTACTACTGTACCCTTCAGGACGTAATTGAATACATACAATGTTTATCGATGTTTGATGTTTCTGCAGAATCAGACAAGCAGAGTGTTTGAACGGTGGCTTTGTAGAGTGTTTTTGGTACATGGACTTGCGTTGACACACCATGAACATTTTGCAGGGACCTGCGGCCTGCCCTGGCAGTCATGAGATGCGTGTTTTGGTTTTGATGCATGTATTAATATCATTTTGTATCCAGATCCCCTCGCATGTCGCATGACTTGAGCTTCCCTGTTGCCTGAGGCCAAACCGCGCGCACGTGCAAAGTCATGTCCGAAGATCCTACTGGATCTTGAGCAGCGGGCAGAAGAGCGCCGGAAGTCACAGGCAGAACGACGTCGGCGGAGGCGCTTTGGATTCGTGCACTTCATCTGTGTGCGCGGATAATTCCTCAAAACAGAGTACAAGGTCATTGGTGTACAGTGTGCACGACCATGGCAGGATTGCATGCCATCTACCATAGTATACTACTGTTTCGTGACGTGACTAATTTTAGTAAAAATTAAGAATGGAATTTGATTCCTGTTCAGCTGATCTTGATTACTGGGCATCTACTATATAGTTGCTCGTACTTGCCAGTCTTACCACCCTTACCACTGCTTAGTAAAGAAGGACTGAGGATCACAGCCCTGGCGGATGGAGGTTTTCCCACCTTGAGACAGCCACATCGGTCGCTGCCCTTACACTCCCTGCAATCATCATAGAAGTGGATGGCCACGAAAGGAAGACCATTTTCCACCAGCAGGTGGTGAACTCCACTTCCACGTTAGTTCCAGGGAGGTGTAATCCAAAAGTCCTTTCTTGGCTTCACCGAACGCCCACCTGAGGAACTCGCAGAATCCGCCGGAACCGGAGCCGACCCATCCGCCGCACGTGCCACTCACTTCGGCACCCGCGGCACCCGCGGCACCGGAATCTCAGCTGGAGGGCAGTGAAGCGAGTGCAGCTGCCACTGAAGGTGGGGCGAGGGTTTGGTCACGTTTTGCACTCGGAATTGGCACGAAGCACATGTGCCTCATTTGCTTGCAGGTGAAACAGATGAGAGAAGCAAGGTGGCTAAGCAAACGGTGAGACTTCATAGTCACCAAATACCAACACGGGCCATGGGAATCTGGAATGTTTCTTTACTCTGCATGCATCTACATGTGACACCCCCGAAGCTGACGGAGTCCCAACGTAGAGCCGCCAGCAGCAGCACCAGCGGCAGCAGATAGCGACAGTAGCACCAGCAACACCAGCACCAGCTATAGCAGCAGCAATATAGATATAGATATATAACTGCAATCGAGCAAATCTCGTTATGGGAGCTACAGCCTGCAAGAAACAATCCCAAAGTAACATGTTGTCATATACTAATACTTAAAATTAGATGCTTGACGACTCGAATTGAATCCTGGTACCACTATCCAGGCGCAGAGATCTCGGTGGCACCACCTGCGCCTGCAACAGGGCCTTCGACAGTGCCGGCAGCCAAAGCGAGACCAAGGGCATTGATTGAGATGGAAAAGTAGCTTGGTGAGAACGAGCCTTCGGCGATATCATGTTGCGTCGCGAGGTCCAAAGGCAGCGATTCCACCAAGACCGTGTGGTGCCAGCCGTTTTTGTGTGTTTATGTTTATGTGTGTGTTTTTTGGTTCCTTTTTGGGGGCGTGAAACGAGGTCAACTGAGGTCAACAAAGTCAGGCCTATGTTGTCTTGAACATGTTGAACCTGGACATGGAACAGAGCAGCCAGAAAGGTACTACACTATATAGAGTTCGGAAGCTGCAGGTGAAGAGTATTTACACATAATTTATTTGATATGTGTTTTAAATACATTGGATATGATTTGGGTTTACAGTTTTTTACATGTTTGAATGAAGCCGCAATTGGATTATGCGGTACTGTTGGGTGCTCACTGTGCCCTTCCTGTGACCATGCAGCCGCCCCTGGAAGATCTCAAGGATCCGGTTTTGAGCTCCTCTTCAATATTCCTGGTTGGGTGTTTTATGTGGGTATGGGGGTACTTGTGAGGAGGGCCCGACACCAGATCCACACCCTTGTGCAGAGTGCTTTCTTCCCCATAAACAAAACCTGGAGCTCTGGAGCGGAGCTATTGTTGGAGAAGGGTGCAAATCATACAAAAATCCAGTACTACACCCCCTGTCGCCAGAACCGGTACATCCCACTTGAGGGGATAGGATTTGATGGGTTGGAGGCCATCGCTATTGGGTTGGAGGTTCGCCACCTGTCCTCCATTCTCTCTTCAACGCACTTCAGGCGCGCCCTGGAGCGACGGCAGGCGCATGAGCTGCGGCGGCAGCAGCAGAAGCAGCGGCTTGGGCTAGATGAGATCATGGAGAATGGATAGAACCGTTTTTGGTTCCTGTTGCACCCCAACCCATTGTTGTAACATATGCCTGGCTTTGTGGAGGAGGAAAACCGTTCTCAGGTCCCATGCTAAGCTTCCAGCAATTTGCAAAACGACGCCCGTTCAAGCCCAAAAACATGGATGCAAACTAGGGAGCACCCACCCTTTTCAACATCCTGTACCTAATGTTCCTTCACAGATTTGGGACGAAGGTGCCCATGTAATTATATACTGCATATATTCTTGTTTGTAGCAACTGGCAGGATAGAAGGACGTTCACACCACTAGGCTAGGATGTTCAAAAACTCGTGCAATGCGTGGATCCATCACTTCAGCGTTCATGCTAGTTTTGAAGGAGGTACTCTCGGCGGCAGACCAGACTGTAGAGGAAAGCGTGCTTCTAGAACTAGGGTCGGTTCCTCTCCCGCTTGTTGATGGTTTGAACTGAATCCAAGAACCAGTTGCTCCTCCCCAAAGAAGGATTTGTTTGGACTTCGATCTTTGGCCTGGACACTCCAGAAATCTGGAGCTTTGTCCACGTGGTTCTTTTTGAGCTGCAGCGCAGACCGTGCTAGGTGGATGGTGATCTGAAAAAGCGTCCCAGATCTCAGCAGATCTCGCCTGTGCATGGGGAGCATGGGGAGCTCTACAAACCCGAACCACCTTGATCTAAAGCTAGTTCCTGATAGTTGTAACTTGACTGATGCCGTTTGATCCAAGGAAAGAAGAGGAGCGCCGGCAGAAGCAGGCAGAGGAGGAGCAGAGGCAGCGAGAGGCCAGGGTGGCATGAGGAATAGGAAGGGCAACATCAACAAATCCTAAATGAACGTTACCCACGAGAGTTCACATACAGGTCAGCTTTTAATACACAAAATATTGTTTCTTCACTTTCATGGATACTTCCTGGACAGTCATAGGCCACCCGCCCGAGGCATGCTGCGATACTCAGCAGCCTGATTCGACCAGTGGCGACAGCGCCTTAAAGATATACTGTAGGATTGCAAGTGCATGGTGTTGTTTGCCTCCAAGTTACTCGCATTTTGTTCAGGATGTTGGAAGTACTCGGGTGGCAGACGATCTCATTGAGCAAATACATGACTACAGACGATTTCATTGCGGCAACATTTGACCCCTCCAGGCACACCAAAGTTTACATCTCAGATGCTCCCCACGACTCAGATGAAGTCTCCTCAAAACGACATTCAAGCTCCCAAAGCGTACACTCCCGTGTTTCTGACATGACCAGTGACCAGTGTTGGAATACCGATATCGCCGATACACATAAAAATCATACATAGACAACAACAAACATAAGCCATCCGATCGTCGCCCATCCGATCATTCCGCGAGGCCGAAGAGGAGGCCAAGCGCGAGAAGATCCGCATGCAACGGCACCAGCAGCGGGAGCAACAGCGACTCAAGGCGAACACACCCATGCCACCATTCAAAGAGGCATCCCAATGGGTAGAAAAAATCTGCCTAGTACCTAATGACCTAATAATTGTTATATAGGAGTGTTTGTTGTTTCTCCTTTTTTGGAGGGTGGGAGTTGGCTGGTTTTGGGATTCGGCGTAGCACATAGACTGAGTAGCTCACAAGCATCGCAACCCAACGTGCCGCTTGGGAGCTTGCTGTTTCTTTCTTACCAACGTCAGGCGCAGAAGTTGGTCGATGCAGCAGTACGCAGAGACAAGGCGCCTTATGCAAGTGAAAGTTGATGGAAATTGTGTATGCAAGAGTCAATAGTCGTAATTACTCATGTTTAGGGGATGGAACTTGGGAGGAAGCGTGCGCAGACAACTTAGTTCATGATGCTAGCAACAACTACAGCAATGGCAATTGCATTTGTATTCGGGAACTTGGTCACTGCAATTGTTGGATAAAGCCTACTACCCAGGCATGCACCAGACTCTACTCTCTTTCGGGTCACAGATTGGAGTGCACCGAAATCGGGATAGATAGACATATATATATATATAAAAGCAATCAGTTGTTCGCCAAACCAAACTAGAGAATGCTGGATAGCTCATACAATGGCTGCAGCTGGTATTGAGCATCCACGCCCTTGGGGCTAGAACAAGGCTCCATACAATGGCTGCATTTGGCTGTTAACTCAAGCTGCTGGAAGCTATAGGGTGTCCATGTTGCGCACGTGGGTATCCATACTATTGATACTAATGCCATGATGTTGGTTTGCTTGCATATACACACACCCCGTATATATGCATATACAAATGCCAGATTCCACCTGTGGATCCTTTTCAGCTTTGGGCAATACCATCGGCAACGGCTGATCATAGGAGCGATCTGCTCACGAGCTCTACATCTTGCACCGGCACCTGAACAACATCAGAACACGAAGAGAACTGACCTCCCCCACTGATCAGGTGGAGAGATCCACTTTGGATGGAAAAGGTTTTCCTGCACTGCGCTCGGGCTGTGTAAGACTGATTGCTTGTAAAACTCTCTACGGTGCTTGTCAGCCGATAAGCACTGGCTGGGGGATGTTACAGCGTGCTTTCCTTGGACAGATGGATTCAGATGGCCCTTTATTTGACGCTTGCTGAGCCTTTGAGGGTGGCAAATGTTTTAATTAAGGATCGGATGGGATTACCATCTAACGACCTCATACTGGAATCACTGGAATCTTTGATCCTTTCTATTTTGCCACTTTGAGCACCCCTTTGTAGGCTTCTCATAAGGAATTGCCCCACTTCACGTTCTCTAAGGGTTTTATCCACGGCGAGGGTGCATTAGGTATTTAGAACTTCCGTTTTTTGTGGATTGCGGATGGTCAGAGGTTATTTGTTGGAGGGTATACTGAAGTCATGCATCAGCAGCCTGCCAAAGAACTTGTTTGATTCTATTCGTAGGAGGTTTGGCAGATCAAACATTGGCAGATGATTGGCCGTGTCCTGTCGGCCAAGGTACATTCGAGTTTGGTGCCTCGTTGAGCAAGCCATAGGCTACGGATAAACGGCTTGGGTGAAAGCAGAACTGGCTCAAATCCCAAAGACAATTTTTTGGGGGTAAGCATCCACCAAAACGACCAGCGTGCCCTGTCTATAGTCTTTAGAGTTGTGTCAGTGGGATCGTTGAATCTTCTCACCTTTTTTTCCCGAATGCGTAGCGAAGGGTTCCCGTTTATAGTTGGGGGTCTGGGGGTTGGAGCTGTGTTCGCGTGGCTTGCGTCGTGTCGTCGTCTCTCGTCGTCGTCGCGTCTCAAATTTGCTGCCATTGGGGGAAGCTTTTGCAAGTGACTTTGCATGGATGTGTCACGTGTCAGTTTGCGCCGCTATTCCATTGTGATTTGCGTGACACGGACATGTCGCGCAAGAAACGTGATGCACTTCGCTGCACAGGCGCAGCGTTTTGTGAGATCCGCAGAGTGCTCCGCAGTTCCATTGGGATTAGCGTTTGGAGAGTCGTGTTTTTGGGGTGTTGGATGTGGCCGTGCCATTGGGATTTGCGTTTCAGGGTGCGGCATCAAGTTAAATTCATTCTATGTGAATTGATATTCAAGCTAAGTGAATGAAACGCATTATGTCATTTATATTCTC